TACATTTAAGTCTTTAATCCATTCTGAGTTAATGTTTGTATATGATGAGATATAGGAGTCTCGTTTTATTTTGTGCAAATGAATGTCCAGTTTTTCCAGCACCATTTATTAAAAAGGGTATCCTTTCTGTAATGTATGCTCTTGGCCCCTTTGCTGAAAATTTGTTGGCTATAAAATATGTGGATTGGGTACTCTATTCTGTTCCATCTGTTTGTATACCAACCACAGTATTTTGGTTACTATAGCCTTGTAATATATTTTGAAGTCAGGTAATATAATATGTCCAGCTCAGTTATTTTTGTTCAGAATTGCTTTGGCTAGTTGAGCTTCTTTTTGGTTCCATGTGAATTTTAGGATTGTTTTTTATATATCTATGAAAAATGACATTGGTATTTTGATAAAGATTCCATTGAATCTGTAGATCACTTTGAGCAGTATGACCATTTGGACAATATTACTTTTTTTGTTCGATGAGCATGGCATGTCTTGCCATTTGTTGTGTCCTTTTCCATTTCCTTCATCATTGTAGTTTTTCTTGTAGAAGTTTTTGATCCTCTTGGTTAGATATTTCATTTATTTTATAGTTATTATAAATGGAATTGTTTCCTTAATTTCTTTACCAGGCAGTTTATTTTTGGCATATATAAAACTACTGTTATTTGTTGATTTTTATATTCAGTAAAGTTACACTTTACTAAAAGTACTGTAAAGTTAAACTTTATGGAAGCATTTTTCAAATTTAACAGTTTTTTGGGTGTAGTCTTCAGGTTTGTCTGGATATAATATTATGTCTGCAAGAGGAACACTTTGACTTTTTTTTTCCAGTTTGAATGTCTTTTAGATTTTTCTATGACCCAATTGCTCTGACTAGGACTTTCAGTACCGTGGGTAGTAAAAGTGGACATCCTTGTCTTGATTCAGTTTGTAGAGGAAAGGCTTTCAGCTTTTCTCCATCCAGTGTGATGTTAGCTGTGAGTTTGTCTCATATGATTTTTATTATGTTGAGGTATGTTCCTTCTATTCGTAGTCTGCTGAGAGCTTTTATCATGAAAGAATGTTAAATTTCATCAAATGCTTTTTCTGCTTCTATTGACATAATGATACGATTTTTGTCCTTTATTCTGTTGTGATGTGTCATGTTTATTTGCATCTCTTGAACCATCCTTGCATCCCTGGGATGAATCTCACTTGCTTATGGTATATTACCTTTTTGATGTGCTGTTTGACTTGGTTTGACAGTATTTTGTTGAGGATTTTTGTATCTATGTTCATAAGGGATATTGGCCTGTAGTTTTCTTTTTTGTTACATTATTGTCTGGTTTTGGAATCGGAATAATGCTGGCCTTGTAGAATGAGTCAAAGAGAATTCCCTTTTCTGATTTTTTTTTTTTTTGAAAATAATTTGAGAAGAGTTGATGTTAGTTCTTCTTTGTGAGTTTGGCAGAGAAGCTATGTCTGGACTTTTCTTTGTTCAGAAATTTTATTACTGATTCAATCTTATTACTCCATATTGGACCATTTTGTTTTTCTAGTTTTTCATGATTCAGACTTGAGGAATATATCCATCTCCTCTAGTTTTCCAGCTTATTAGTGTATAGTTGTTCAGAATAGTATCTGATAATCTTTCCTTAGGCATAACTTTCTAACCCCATAATTTTTTTTCCAGTATATTCTGGAGTTTTTCTTCATAAACATTAAAATAATTTTTAATTGTTCATTTCTTTTTTCCAATTTGGATGCCTTTTAGTCTTTTCTCTTGCCTGACTAGACTATAAGTTTCCTCACTGGACTGCAACTTCCAGGAGGATGTGGTCCATATCATTGTTGTTTACCACTGTATTTTTAGTATCAAGCAGCATGCCTGACACATGATCAGGGCTCTATACCTATGTATTAAATAAATGAATAGTTCAACATGGGAGAATAAGGAATTAATCTTAGGTCTGACTTCCTTTCTATCCTAATTTTCATTATAATATACTTACAGCAGATTAAGAAACAAAGACACTATAATGCATATTTATAAAATTGGTCCTTAATTATAAGTCTATTGGCAATATGTAATTGACAGTACACTGACAAAATCTATAGGCCTTTGTGTAGTTTTCTTTTTAAATGTTTCTTCATGCTTCATGGATTATGGAGGCAGAGAAGATTCTAAGCTCAGAATTCACTCTTGCAAAGATTTCAGGACATGGGATTTTCAATGATGAACTTCACACACAAAGTAAATGAAATCCGTGAACTACCTATCTAAAACCCTTCACCCAACTTTTCATTTATTGATCCCTGGCTTAGCTCATGAAAATATTTAATATTTTCTCATGATGATTGTTAGCATTGAGGCTTAATCTCTTTAAGGGTTAATTCTCACTTATGTCTCTAAGATGGCTTTAACAATTCCAGATAGTGCATGTAGACATTTGGTCAAATAAAAAAGCGTTTTCTTCCATGATAGATTCTTTAATTTTGAACTATGAAGGAAAACTTTCCCGAAAGCCTCCTGTAAATTCTCCTCCTCTGGGAAATCTGGAACAAAATGGATCCAAAAGCAACATGCCCATGCTTTTTCTTTTTTTCCCCTTGTTTCTGAGACTGAGTCACCCAGGCTGAAGTGCAGTGGCATGGATCTTGGCTCACTGCAACATCCACCTCCCAGGTTCAAGTGATTCTCCTGCCTCAGCTTCCTGAGTAGCTGGGACTACAGGCATGTGCCACCACCCCTCGCTAATGTTTTGTATTTTTAGTAGAGATGGGAGTTCACCATATTAGCCAGGATGGTCTTGATCTCCTGACCTCGTGATCTGCCTGCCTTGGCCTCCCAAAGTGCTGGGATAACAGGTATGAGCCACTGCACCCAGCCTACATGGCCACGTATTAGTGAACAGAGGAGTGAGAAAATGCATATCTTTTGACTTCATCACCCACATTCTTTTTTGTGGGTTTTGTCTTCTATTAAAGAATAGCCATAGCATAGACAGCCAAAGGTGTCTCCTATAGGAGTGTTTACTTGTTGGAATGGAAAAACTTTCATTAGAGGGTTTGATTTTACAGATGGTTTTCATAAGAGTTGAAGATATTTGAAATTTTAAATAATCTAATGTTAAAAACAAAGCAACAAACAAAACTTGTCCTTTATGTTTATCTCTCTAGTATATCCTAAAATTTTTCCTAATAATTAGTTGTATTAACTCAATTTCTCTAGGTGTTGTTTTTGGGAGGGCAGGGGTGGTAGTGAATAGAGATCCAAAACCTATCCTTTTCAGTGAAAGAAAAGGCTGGAGAAGAAAGTATGGGCTAAATTAAGGCCTTCCAGTAAAATAATATTCCCCCTCACATTCCCATATTCCACATACTTGCTGCTCCTGGAATTTTCTAAGTATATCACATAGTTCTTACCTTGTACCTTTGCTCCCCACAGTCTGATAAAATGCCAATTCTCACATGAGAAGAGGCATTAGGACTAGGTTTCGAAGTCTTCTTTGGTTCCCCCTTCTCTCAGTATCCTTCCCTCTTACCATGACCCGCATCATTATAGTTGCGTTCCTAATTTCCTTAAAATCTATGATTTCAAGGATGCTGCAGTATAGTGTCTTATTTATCTTGGTACTTTTAAGGAGCAAGTGTGAAGTCAGTGCTTGAAGTAGATTGTTCTTCCTTGTATCCAGACCCTTTGCAATATTACTTAATCTACTTATTGATGAGAGGGGCGGCAATTTTCCTACCCTTGAAACAGACTGACTTGTGGCTTGCCACATGCATTGGCCAAAACAAAAGTGACACAATGTTAATTCTGAATCTAGGCTTCAAGGGGCTTTGTATATTTCTGCTTTCATTTTCCATCAGATTAGCCTGGGCATGTTTTCACAGTATTGCTAGGAAGAGAGTCCACCGAGAGACCATGCAGACAGGAGTTGAGGCAATTCTGAATAAGCTGGCTGCCAATGGACCCCAACACCAGTGATAAGTTCAAGCCAGGATGAGCAGAACTGCCTACTACTTAAATCACAGCTGAATATGCACACATTAATGAATACACCAGAAACCAGAAAAAACCCGATTGCACCTATAAACATATGAGCAATATAAAATATACTTTTAACCTACATTTATGGATGGTTTGTTACACAGCAATACCTACTGATAACATGTTTAAAGTTTGTTATGTTGAAATCAACTTTTGTAATTGAAAAGTATTTTCATCCTTGGTAAATAAGAGTCTGCTTTTCCAAGGTGTGAAAAAAATAATAATAAAGGAGTCTGATGAGTACATGACCCAAATTCTTGATGGTAAAATTACCACTAATAGTGAACAGTCTAACTGCAAAAGGAGAAATAAGTCAGTAAGACATTAACCTTTTAAAAAGTAAGTGGAAATAATATCTTTAAAATAAGCTAGCCACGAAAACAAGACGAAATGTTACAAGTAAAAAATTATTTAATAATAATACTTTTTCTTCCTTTTATGGGGGAACCAATGTTTCCTTTTTTATAGCAAATGTTTCTTCCTTCCCCGGAAGCATTTATCTTTTGAGTTAGAAATATTCCAATGACACTCTTTAAGTTATTTAAAAATATACAGTTGGCCGGGCGCGGTGGCTCAAGCCTGTAATCCCAGCACTTTGGGAGGCCGAGGCGAGTGAATCACAAGGTCAAGAGATCGAGACCATCCTGGGCAACATGGTGAAACCCCGTCTCTACTAAAAATACAAAAAATTAGCTGGGCATGGTGATGCGTGCCTGTAATCCCAGCTACTCGGGAGGCTGAGGCAGGAGAATTGCCTGAACCCAGGAGGCGGAGGTTGCGGTGAGCCGAGGTCGCGCCATTGCACTCCAGCCTGGGTAACAAGAGCAAAACTCTGTCTCAAAAAAAAAAAAAATATACAGTTAAGTTATTATTGACTTTAATCACCCTATTGTGCTAAATAGTGAGTGGGCATTCTTTCTAATCATTTTTCCTTTGTACCCATTAACCATTCCTACCTCTCCTCTATCCCCTTACCTGTCCCTGCCTCTGGTAACCATCCTTCTACTCTCTTTGTCTATGATTTCTGTTGCTTTGAGTTTTAGATCCCACAAACAAATGAGAGCATGTGGTGGTCATCTTTCTGTGCCTGGCTTATTTCACTTAACGTAATCTCCAGTTTCATTTATGTTGTTGCAAATGACTAGATTTTATTATTTCTTACGGATGAATAGTACTCCATTGCGTATTTGTACCATAGTTTATCCATTTATCTATTGATGAACACTTGGGCTGCTTCTAATTTTAGCTATTGTAAACAGTGCTGCAACAAACATAGGGGTACATATATCTCTTTGATATATCCAAAAAAAAGGAAATTGGTATATACCCAGCAGCAAGATTGCTGGATCTTATGGTAGCTCAATTTTCATTTTTTTGAGGAAACTTCAAACTCTTCTCCATAGTGTTTGTACTAATTTACATTCCCACCGACAGTGTACAAAGGTTCCCTTTTCTCCACATCCTTGCCAGCATTTGTTATTGCCTGTCTTTTGGATAAAAGCCATTTCTCTTGGGGCGAGATGATATCTCATCATAGTTTTGATTTGCATTTTTCTGATGATCCATGATACTGAGCACCTTTTCATATGTCTGTTTGCCATTACTTTTCTTTCTTGAATACCTGATTTTGATATGCCTAGAGAGACAGTAGTAATACCATTCAAAAGTAAAATTTATTCAAAATGCCTTTCAAGCTGTTATGCTAATTAAGCTTATTTTCTGAATAAATAATCAAGTTGAGGTGTGTTTAGCTAAATGTGGTCTATTAAAGAACACTTAGGTTTTATAACTTCTCTCAGTTGACTGAGCTCTTAACACTGTGTGGTTCTCTGCCAGGCCATCGGGCTTATTCTCATGTTAAAATAACAGGTATTTGCCAAGAATCCTTATTTATCTGTAAGGATTCTACAGCTGTAAACAAATCATTATGATGTCTCAGCACTCTGAACATTAAAGGGGATCATGGGATCATCAATAACTCAGAGCTACCTAACTCAGAACTTCAGATTTTATGTGATTGGGTCAGAATGCTAATATGGATTAGGAATGTAAAAGATATTTTTAGATTCTAACATTTGCAACCAGGAAGAAATGGTTAAGGAAGAAAGCATTATTCCATCCATGATTCTACTTTAACCAGAATCTAAACAGGTGGAAATGATGTACTATTATTTGTTCTTCTATGCCTGGCAAATCAGCTTTGTGCAACTATAATTAAGATGAGCCATAGAGAAATTCAGTAAAGGGATTTTGAGTTGGTCCCATGCCCATCTTCTTTTGCTGCAGGGGCAAGATAAATTGGAGGTTTAGACATGTACAGATTTACCCTACTCATGTTAGAATTCAAGGAAGAGGCAAACACTTAAGCAGTAATTCTATTCAAAGCTCTATCTGTGAGTTCAGGGAAGAAACCTGCTTTGAAGGAAGACCTGGGACTGGAAAGTAAACCTAGGGACACTCACAGTTGAAGGTGATATTACTGCAATATTTCTGTGAATGTACCCTCAGAGTCTGTCTTTCCACTGAATGTTAGTGAATGAACATTACATCAACAATATTTACTGAGTTCTAGGTATTTCTGGGTTATGTGTGTTGGATGGGAGGGGACAGGAAAGTTGTTACTTTATCTCAGAAATTTACTGTCCTTTTGAAATGGAAAGAGAGGATTTGTAGCACATGTAATGGTTATTGAACACCTCTGTGTCCCCTGCCTTATATATGTCTTCAAAGTTGGCTTCCTCTTAGCTCCAGTATTAAATAGTAGACATGATAGAGAGAGGCTTTGAGAAGTTACATAACTTTCCCAAGGTCATACCTAGTAAGTGACAATGCAAGGATTTGAAACCAGGTGTGACTTCAAAACCCATGTTCTTCCCACTACAGAAAACCATCAAAGAACTAGAAGAGTAATTTTTGCAACACTAGTACTGTATCTGTGAAAAAGTACATTAAACTACACATTTACATAGCTCCTCTTCAAGGACAGATTGCCTCCACCACAGGTACAATTTCCTGAAGTCCAGGCTGGTAGGTCTTTGTTTAGTATAATTATAGCCAATTTCTTTTTGTGAGAAAATAATTTTATTAAAAAAACAAACCCTCAACTTTGCTTATTGTAGTATTAGAGAGATGCATGGGAGTCAGTGGGAAAGCGAAGTAGGGATTTTTGTTTATTCAATTGAAGCTTTATGGAGCCTGAAAGACTAGTCTTAAAGTTAGGAAAAACCAAAGTGGACTTACTACTCACACACCACCTAACACAACAGTTCTGACCCCAGATACATGGGAGAAAACCCTACATACCAACCACTTGTCCAGTGGACATCAGCTGGGTGTCCTCTAATTCAATTCAATTCTGGCAATATTTACCTGGAGATAGTGTCAGGTTCCACAGGTTGAGGGTTCGGTTCCACAGGTTGAGGGTTCAGCTCTACAAGACTGTCCCCTACTTTAGATGTCAGTCACAAGTAGTAGGCTGTCACCTATATTTCTGACCAACTGGCTATATGTTGTAGGTTCCCATGGCCCTTTATTCAGGTTCAATTAGTTTGCTAGAAGGAGTCACAGAAAACTCAGGGAAACACTTTACAGTGCTTTTGTTACCAGTATATATGTAGATAAACAGCCAGATGAAAATAAATCAAGTAAGACCTGGAAGGGTTATGAAAGCAGGAGCCTCTGTACCCCTGGGGTTGGAGTGTGTCACCTCCCAGCATGCTGATGTGTTTACCAACCTAGAAGCTCTCTGAATCCTGTCCTTTCGGGTTTTTATGGATGCTTTATTATGTAGACATGATTGATTACATCACTGGGCATTGGTGACTGACTCAACCTTCAGCCCCTCTCCTCTCCCAAGAGCTTGCGGGGTCAGGCTGAAAGTCCCAAACCTCTAATCATTCCTTGGTCCTCCTGGTGACTAGCCCACATCCTGAAGCTATCTTCAGCTACCAGTCTTCTCAGTAGCATGTAAAAAACACTCATCTCTCCAGGGATTCCAAGGGTTTTAAGAGTTCTGTGACAGGAAATGAGTATGAATACCAAATATATTTTTCAGAACATCACTGGTAGAATACCCCTAAACATAGAAACAATTGTGCCTGGTTTTATTGATCTTGGGGCATTGCTAAGGTATACTATTTGATTAAAATATAATAATGATTGAATATATAATTAGTGAAACAATATCTACAAGCAGAGACTGCTCTAATTACCCTCTCAGGAGAATTCGTGAGAGACCATTCTAGGGCAAAGAGGATTAAGAATAAACCTTTGCTTTATGTAATTTGTGAAAATTTAAAATTGCTTTCATGCATGGCCTGCTTAAAAAATTTTAACTTTATAGTTGATAAGAATTATACATGTTTGTGGGATACAATGTGATATTTCAGTAGATGTATACATAGAATAATAATCAGATTGGGGTAATTACAATGTCCATCACTAATCATTTGTTAATATATGGTAATATATGGCCTTCTGTTTTAAAAAAAAATCTTTATGGAGATATAATTCACTTGCCATTAAATTCACCCATTTACAGTGTACATACAATTCCATGGGTTTTGGTATATTAACAGTTAAGCAACCATTAGCACAATCTAAGCTTAAAATATTTTTGTCCTAAAAATAAATCTTATGTCAGATTTTTAAAATCTACTCTTCAATTGATGAATATTTAACATTTTGGCTATTGTGAATAATGTTGCTGTGAGCATTTGCATTGAAGTTGTTGGTGGTCATATCTTTTCATTTCTGTAGGGTATGTGCCTGGGAGTGGAACTGCTGGATTATGTAGTAGCACTAGGTTAACATTTAAGGAACTGCTGAACTATTGGCTAAATTGTCACACCATTTTATATTACCACCAGAAATTAAGGAATGATTCCAGTTTCTCCACATTCTCATCAACACTTGTTATTGTCCCCCCACCTTTTTTTTTTTAATTAGCCCTCCTACATCATGTGAAGTGGTTTCTTGTTGTGGTTTTGATTTGTGTTACTCAACTAACTAATGATGCTGAACATCTTTTCATATGCTTATTAGACATTTGTATAGTATCTTTGAAGACATATCTATCAACTCTTTTCCATTTTTAAATGGAGTTATTTATCTTATTAATATTGAGTTATAAGAGTCTTTGTGTATTCTGGATACTCTTATTAGATAAATGATTTTTAAATATCTCCTCCATTTTATAGATTGATTTTTCACATTTTTGATAGTATAATTTAGTTTTTAATTTTGATATTATTTGATTAGTTTGATGGTATAAGTTAAAGTTTTTTATTTTGATACAGTTCATTTTATATAATTTTAATTTTGTTACTTGTGCTTGTCTATGACTTCCTGGTATCATATGTCATCTAACATTGCCTAATCCAAGGTCATATGTATTTTGCGTCTGTGTTTTCTGCTAGGAGTCTTATAACTTTAACTCTTACATTAAGTCTGTGGAATTTATTTAGTGTTAATTTATTTTTTTATTTTACTGGCACATATTTGTACACATTTTGGGGGCACGTGATGTTTTGCTACATGCGTAGAATGTGTAATGGTCAAGACAGGATAGTTAGGATATTCATCACACCAAGCATTTATCATTTCTATGTGTTAGGAATACTTCAATCTTCTCTTCTCATTATTTTGAAATAGACAATACATTGTTAACTGTAGTCAGTGATATTCAGTTTGCTAGTATTTTGTAGAGAAATTTTGCATCTGTGTTCAGCAGGGATATTGGTTTGTAGTTTTTTGTTATGTTTTTGTATGATTTTGATATTAGGGTAGTGTTGGCCATATAGAATGAGTTAAGGAGAATTCCCTCCTTGTTAATTTTTTTGGAATAGTTTGAAGAAAATTAATTATTTCTTCCTTATTAGTTACATAGAATTTGGCAGTGAAGCCATCCCATCCTGGGCCTGCTTCCTGCCTTTCTCTCTCTCTCTCTCTCTTTCTTGCTTTCTTCTTCTTTCTTCTTTCTTCTACTTCCCTCCTCCTCCCCCTTTCTTCTTTCTTCTTCCTCTTTTTTTTTTTTTTTGAGACAGAGTCACATTTTGTCACCCAGGCTGGAGTGCAGTGGCACACTCTTGGCTCACTGCTGCCATTG